TACATAAAACCAGTACGGCAATGTCTGTGTGTTATCAGAGAGGGGAAGACGGGCTGGGGCTCTCCGGCCAGCGGGTCCAGGTGAATCCATAAGCAGTCAGCTCCAGGATCAGTGAGAGACTTTGTCTCAAGAGATAAAACGAAGAGTGATTGAGGAGGACACTGGATGCTGACCTCTGACCTCCACTTACACACACACACACACACACACACACACTCTGAAAGGTAATTCTTAATTGTACCCATACATTTAATAAGGTACCTTACTACTAAACCACAAGAACTTACACGAGTTTTCTGAAACCGGCTTGCTGGCCCTTTCAATAGTTCACAATTTGACGGTAAAACGGTGTCAGTGACAGGGCAGAGGGAGCCCAGGACTAAACCAACCACACTTTCTGCTTTCTTGTTAGTCAAGGGTTTTCACCTTGCGCTGTTTGGTCTGTAAAGTTCCTTCAGTATCACTGCAGATAGGGTCTGTCTGTGAGTCCAGAGTGCAAAGGTGTCCCTGCCACACCCCCACACCCCCTCCTTTCCCCGGCAGGCGCTCACTGCTCTAGACACGACATAAACAATCAAGCTTGGATCTAAATTGACAGAATGGGTCACATGATTCTTAGCACTTCCTAACATGGCAAAGGAAAGGGTTCTTGTTTTTATTCTTTAACTACAATCTTGAAGATGAATATGAGTTTATGAGTGGAAAGTCCATTAAAGAGAAGAATCTTCCCACTGTAAACACGGACAAGCACGCACAGTAGAGCTCACCTGGACAGGAGGCTGGCTACTCAGGAGTCTTCTGTGGGCAAGGCTGTCAGGAGCAGAGGCAGCTTTAGTCTATCTAAATATTCTAAATACACAGCTGTCCAGTGATGCATGTGTGTGTGCATGCTCCTGTGTGTGTATGCTCAAGTGTGTATGTGTGTGCAAGCTCAAGTGTGTGTGTATGTGTGTGTGCTCAAGTATGTGTGTGTATGCTCCTGTATGTATGTGTTTGCATGTTCAAGTGTGTGTGTGTGCTCAAGTGTCTGTGTGCATGTGTGTGTTCATATGTGTGCATGCTCAAGCATCTGTGTGCATATGTGTGTTCATGCTCAAGCGTCTGTGTGCATGTGTGTGTTCATGTGTGTGCATGCTCAAGTGTGTGTGTACGCATATTCAAGTATGTATATGGATGTGAGTTTCAGACAACGTGAAGAGGCTCTCTGACAAGCAGGAAGTGTGATGTGGCTTTTTTTGGTTGGCAAATGATTATGAAGTAAAAATACTTTTGAGAACACTGTTTCTCAAACCTTTGCTTAGGCCTGATGGCCTCTTTTTGTGTCTCACATCCTAAAACGTGGAGGAGCCATGGCATGAAGTGGGAGTGGGCCCCTTGTACACCACCCACACTCCCAAGAGTGACTCTGCCAACAGACTTCTGGAGAACACTGCTGCTCAGAAGGTGTGCATCCATTGATCTGCAGGCTGGGGAGATGGCTCAGTGGTTAAAACTACTGCTGTTCTTACAGGGAGGGAGTCAGAGTTCTTAGTGCTCCCCCAGGCTTCACAACCCCGCAACCCAAGCTTCAGGGGATCGGATATCGTCCTCTGGCTTCCTCATGCTACGCACTCTTATGCACACACCTCACTCATACACACAGATACACAAGGTTTTTAAATTAAATTCTGGGCTGGAAAGATGACTCAGCTGTTAAGAACGTGTATTGTTCTTCCAGAGGACCTGAGTTTGATTCCCAGCACCCAATTCACAACCACCTATAACTCCAGCTCCAGGGGTGCAGCAGCTCTGGCCTCCTCAGGTACCCACACATGTGGAATGCACACACACACACACACACATGATTTAAAATAAATACTTTTAAAAACTAAAACCTAAAAACAGTATCTTCACAGGTTAAAAATTTTCCCTCGTTTAAAATGTCTGGCTTGTTTCTTGAGTCAGGGTTTAATGTCGCCCAGGCTGGCCTCAAACTCTGTAGCTGAGGATGACCTTCAGCTCCGGGTCCTTTAGCCACCACCTCCCAAATGTGGGGATTATAGGTGTTAGCTCCGACTCCTGGCTTCTCTCTCAAGGTTTGACTTATAATACAGCTATCTGGTAATAGGAACTCATGGAACACTCCCCCCCCCCAAAAAAAAGCAAATATTAACTGAAAAACTAAAATAAGAAGCTTCCTTAAAAACGTGTGCGGTCTTTGGGACTATAAGAGATCGTCACACTTTCTACTAATAAATTATTCCTCATTCATACAGGTTCAAGTGCATCCATATTTGGACATGTTCCTGGAGCACATCGTGTCTTCTCTGGCATTAAAACAAACCTCCTGAGAATACAGACATCCGTGGGTATCATCTCCGGTCCTCCTGCTGGTCCTCTCACCTAAGCAGGTCGGCCTGCACAGAGGTCAGCCGTGACTGGCAGAACCACATTCCTCTGCCGAGAACACAGTTCAGGGGTCACCCTCCCTGAGTTACAGCCCACCCCACTTCCCAGCAGGCCCTCTGGCTCCCTGAGGACCAGATCCTCCTCCTAGTCTAGCCTCTGTGGATACTGGGGCTGAAGCCCCATCTCTGGTTTCCTCCAGAATAAAACGCGAGAGAGGAGCAGTCATGTTGAAAGGGCGCTCGCTGCCAATCACCACACACCCACTTCATGAGTTCACACGGTCCCCTCCGGCACAGGCAAGGGTGAACGTTTACCAGGCTCAGTGGGGAAAGAGCTCGGATTCAGGGCATCTGATTGTGTTTATGGTGTTTGTGCTCATACCATGACAGAATTCAAGCTGCCCACCTAATGTCGACTAGCTCATACAATCTTAAAAACATGGCAGTTAGCTAATGGGAGCCAGCACAACTGTGGATGAAGACAGGCCAAGTCAAAACAGAAACACTATTGCATTAAACTTCAGTTTATAATATTGGCAAAGCAATAGTAACGACGACAACAATAACCCAAAGAGCCTTAGAGCTGTTTTGACACTGGAGATACAAACAGTCTGAGCTTAATCTACATCATTAAGTCCAACATAAGAAGTGTTTGCCTTATAACGCGACTCATGAATTTATTGTCCAGACTAGAGCTTCTGTGATGGCAAAGTCTGAGCCTCTCTAAGTACATGAAGCAGCAGGAGGAAACCAGGCCTGTATTAGCCAATCCAGAATGTGGCTCTGTGGGTAAGAGCACTGGCTGCTCTTCCAGAGGTCCCGTGTTCAATTCCCAGCAACCACACAGTGGCTCACAGCCATCGGTAATGGGATCTGGTGCCCTCTTCTGGCATGTAGGTGTACATGCTGACAGAGCACTCACATGTAAAGAATAAATAAAATTTTTAAAAAAGGAAAGCATGATGTTTTATTCATGAGCGTATCTATACGCTGTCTAGCAGGTTCCAGAGCACCATTGGGTCAGGACCAGGGTTGAGCCTACTGCCGACCAGGGGCCTGAGGAACCCCACCAGACAGGCCAGGAGCTGAGCAGGGTAACAAGGTGACTGAAAGCCTAGAGCATCTGTGGAGAGGGGAAGGAAGTGGTCCAGATGGGGGAGCAAGATGGTACCAAGGAAGTAGCTCTGAGGACAATACTGAGTCACTCAGTGGCTACTGGAGACAACCTGAGCTAACCTCAGGAGAAGCTACCCTGGTGACAAGTGTTCTGAAACTAGTAATTAGGCATCTCTGGTAATACAGAGAGAGAGGGGAAACACAAATTCCCATGGGAGCATGGGGGGAAAACGTTTGTATAATTTTCTGAGTTTTTTTCCCCTGTTTTGTTTTGCTTTTATTTTTTGAGACAGGGTTTCTCTGTGTAGCTTTGGAACCAATCTGTCCTGGAACTCCCTCCGTAGACCTGGCTGGCCTTGAACTCACAGAGATCCGCCTCCCTCTGCTTCCCAAGGGCTGGGATTAAGGGTGTGTGCCACCATTGCCTGGCATTTGTATAATTTTCTATAGCTGGCATGTGTGTGTGTGTATGTGTGCCTGTGTGTGTAGGGGGTGTGTGTGCGTGGCCTGCGTGTGCAGTGTGTGTGTGCCTGTGTGTATGTGTGTCTGCATGCATAGGGTTTGCGTGTGCACCTGTCTGTGCAGGGTGTCTGTGTGCCTGCGTGTGCAGGGTGTGTGTGTGTGTGCCTGCGTGTGTAGGGTGTATGTGTGTATGTCTGCATGTGTAGGATGTGTAGGGTGTGTAGGGTGTGTGTGCGCCTGCATGTGTAGGATTGGCGGTTTTTTACATTCCAGTCACATCAGTGAAACCAGCCTTGGAAATCTTCTCTTACACAGAAAACTTGGAAGGCTTTTAAACACCACCTCTTCACACTGCCATACACCCATATCTTGGCAAACCTGGAGTGCGCTTGTTTACCTGTTACAGTCCTGGACACAGCCGCTGCAGTTCCCTTCTTTGAAGTAGCATGCTGCTCGATTTGAATACAAGATGCTTAGCTCATCCGCACTTTCACTTCCTAAAACCACATTTAATTAAATACAGTTAAAACCGCGAGCAAAATTACAGCTCACCAAAATGACAGGACCGCGGTCTCAGCGGCACTGCAGTTGGTCCCACAGCCTGCTCATCCTGCAGAGCTCCTAGGAGCTGTCCCCACACTGGCCACACACAGGGAAGGTAGGGCAGACCCATGCAAACCTGCCTGGCCGGCACAGGCTCCGCATTCCGAGGTATTGCTCTCGTAGGTCGAGAGGCGCGGTGCCCTTAGTCACCGGGAAGGAATGCGGAGCCGGTGCCTGTCAATGAGCACAGGAGGCCGGCTTCTGTCCCAAGCCCCGACGGGAGCAGCCCGGGGACCCCGGGGGACCAGGTTCGGCTCCCCTACCTGCGGGTTCCAGCTGTGCTATCGCTGCCGAGTACTGCGAGGCTGCCTCGGCAAACTGCCCGCTGCGGAACAGCTCGTTGCCGCGGCTCTTGAGGTCACTGGGATCCTGGGAAGCTCGGGGCTCCCCGGGGTGCGTGTCCTCGGTGCTACTGGCCGGCTCTGTCTCCCGCGGGCCTCCCGGCTGCTCGGCTCGGGGCTGCGGTATCCGGCCCCGACGCGATCGCCTGCCGCCCTCGCTCCTACCTAGCAGCTTCTTCTGGATGTTGCCCATGGCGCTCGTGGCCGCTGTGGGGAGAGCACCAGGGAGGTGAGTGCATCCCCGGGACCGCGATCCGGCCTGGCGGGTGCAGGCAGCGCCACCCCGCGCGGGCGGAGTCCCAGCTCCCTGCCGCCCCGAGTGGGCATCCTGCCCGCCCCAGGATCCCCAAGGACCAGGTCCGGTGCCCTGCTGCACCTAGGCAGCCCGAGATTTAACTCCTTAGCCGCTGAAGAGCAGGCGACTGAGAGCTGGCTTTTCAAAGCCACCTCCTTCACTAGGACCACGCCAGTCCAGGTAGTGCTTGCGGTCATCCGCAACTTAGGAATGAATGAAGTCACTAGAACTTGAGCCACCCCCCCCCCCACAGGACTATGCCTAAGGCCAGGGAACTAGGAGAAAAAAAAAAAACAACAACAACAAACCAACACCGGGTCATTTGAAAGATAAAGCCAAAGTGATTTTCAGTTCATTTCAAAATGAATTCAGCAAAATCATAGAAAGTATTAAATAAGCTTAAAGCTTAACGAGGCCCTAAAAGTAGAAAACTTTCCATTCATAGCGGGATAATCACAGCCCTTGGAGAATATGACAAAGTCCAGCATGGACTACATAAGGAGACCCTGCCTCAAAAAAATAGAAATAAAACAGCGAGTTTTCTATTCAGACGCCTTATTCAAAGTGAAAATTTCTTTTAAAAAATTCAACTGTGAGTTTCAGGCATTAATAACTTGATTCTAGCTTTAAACATGAAGCAACATGATTTCAATTGTGGGTGTCTAACTAAATGTAACTAAATGTGCCGAAGCAATGCTTAAAAACAATTAAAAAAAAAAAAGCTGGTGAGCTGGGCGGTGGTGGCGCACGCCTTTAATCCCAGTACTCGGGAGGCAGAGGCAGGCGGATCTCTGTGAGTTCGAGGCCAGCCTAGTTCCGGGACAGCTAGTTCCGGGACAGTCACCAAAGCTACAGAGAAACCCTGTCTGGGATCACACACACACACACACACACACACACACACACACACACACACACACACAAAGCTGATGGTGCACGCCTTTAATGGAGGCGGAGACAGGCAGACCTCTGGGAGGCAGCTAGGGCTGCATATTGAGACTAATGCCGGGTTCCCAAGTCTTCTCTTTTTAACAATATCTAATCCAACTTTTCCTGGCTGTATTTTCTGTCATCTTTATGAAGAAAGACCAAGATCTGAGACAGCAGAGAAAACCATGGTTATCTCATGAAAACCCACGGTGATGGGTTTTCATAGGCAGTGACTCTAAAGACTAGAAAATACCAATAGCTTCCTCTTCTTCCTCCTCCTCTTTTTCCTCTTCCTCCTCCTCCTCCTCCTCCTCCTCCTCCTCCTCCTCCTCCTCTTTAGGCTTTTTTTTCATGCTATAGCCCAGACTGGCCTTGTACTCATGACAATTCCCCTGCCTCAGACTTCTGAGTATTGGAGATTAAGGAGTAAGCCACCATGCTCAAATACAAGTTTTAAAAGAAAACCAATTTGAATCACCAACCAAAAGAGGCTCAGTTTTGTGTAATGGAAATAAACCCCAAGACGGGTACCTCCTCCTAACGTCCTCCTCCTAACGTCCTCCCCCAGGCCGACTGTGTAAGCACAGCCTGGTGCAGAAGTGGACAGAAAGAGAAAGGGAATGTAGGAATACAGGAGGAGGCTTGGCACCCCTGCTGGCTGAGAGTAAAAAAAAAAAAATCACATGAATATGGCTATGAGCCATGTTTATACTAAAAACATGTCTGAGACGTGGCCTGTGTATGACGAGGATTTCTTGAACCTTTATGACCCATTTTTATCATCTCAGCCTGTAAAACCGGTTCCATGAATTCATACAGTACCTTATTCTCTCCTGTAGTGAAGACAAGTTCTTAAATCAAAGGTATGCTAAAACACTTTCCCTGGGTCCCTAAATCCCTTAACAGTGCACCTTCAAGGGCCTCCGAAGCTCTCTGTGGAGCTGTGGTAAGACACTTGCACACGACTGTCTTCAGAAGCCAGTGTCACGTTTGGGCTGGACACTATCCTTTTCTCCTCCCCTCTCCCCCTTTGCCTCCCCAGTTCCTTGCTCACATCTATATTAAAATCTTTTCTTAATAAACCCAGCTTCTGCCTCACACCGACAGGTCTAGAAAGTCTTGCCTGCTAAGTGGGGACGAGCTGCTGTCCCCGAGGGGAAGCGGATCCGAGAGCTGTAGGCGGCACAATGCCACAGTAGCGCTGAGACCCTGCAGTGTGACTAGCAGAGATAGGGGGAATTTAGCACTATGTCCATCCCTCTGTGTGGCATCCCCTCCTGTCTGACCAAAATGACTACCAGGTGGCTAACAGGGGCCAAGGCCTTCACATATATCTTCATGAATCCTCAGACTCAGCAGCATCGATCCCCACTTTACTAGTGGAGACCAGAGACACAAGGAATCCACTCAGTCACAGAGGGAGAGGCTAGCCCAGCTGGCGTTTGTTGGAGAGGTGAGCATAGGGGGCCTGTGGGGCCTGCAGGGAACTCAGTTGGTGATGGGACGCGGCTGGAGGACTTACTGTCATAAACAGACAGAAAGGGTCATTAGAGTGTGGGTGTGGGTGTGGGTGTGGGTGCGGCCACCAGACCCTGGGGGTGTCCCTGAGAAACAAAGGATAGGCCGGGAAGCCTCTTGCGGAGGTGCCAGAGTGACTAAGGTTGATAGAACAGGGACTGCCTCAGAAACCAGGAGGACTCAGGACAAAAGGAGCCAGCAGTGATCAACAGAAGAGCAGGGGCCAGCAGGAAGGCCCTGGATGTGGCCACGACACAGGAAAATCTTAACAGACACGGACAGTCTGGGCGGACAGCACACTGAAGGGTCACACACCAGGGCTAAGAGTGGTGTATCTAAAGAATGAAGCAATCTGGGCTGGAGACGCGGCTCAGTGGTTAGGAGCACTATCCGCTCTTGCAGAGGACCCAAGTTCAGGTCCCAGCACCCCCATGGTAGCTCACAACCATCCACAGCCCCATTTCCGTGGGATCTGACACCCTCTGAGAGCAGCGGGTGTGCGTGCGGTATGCTTACATACATGCAAATTAAAACTTGTAAACATAAATACATTTTAAAAAGAAGAGAAGGGTCGTTCAGCCTTAGATAACCAGGCATGGTGGCACACACCGAACATTCCAGCACTCAGAAGGCAGCGGCAGGAGGGCTCAGGTCCCGGGCAGCATGGTCTAGAGTGAGGCCCTGTCTCAGGAGTAAAACAAACAAAAGGCTACATTGCCTGTGTTTGCATTTGTATGAAACAGAATAAGCAAAACCATAAAAGTGAGACTAGTGACTGGGGGTGGGGCAGGTGGCGTGAGAGGTGAGTGCTGCTCTCGGGCATGAGAAGGCTTTGGTGGGTGACAAAAATGTCCCCAAATTAGTGGCGATAGTTGTCTAAAACACTGCCAAATTTGAAAGCTATGTTTAAGAGCAGAATGTGACTGTTCCTTCAACTGAAAGCCCTTCTTTCCAAATAAAGATACATAAGTAGAAAAGGAGTGATCTCGTGTGTGTGTGTTTGTGTGTTGTGTGTAGGTGTGTCTATGTGATCTGTGTGTGTGTGTGTGTGTGGTGTGCGTATGCATGTGGAGTGTTATATGTGTGTTTCTGTGTCTGTGTGGTCTGTATCTGTGGTATATGTGTGTGTTTATGTGCTTGTATGGTGTGTGTGTGTATGCTTGTGTGTCAGGTCTTTATGTATGTGGTGTGTGTTTTTGTGTCTGTGTAGTCTGTATCTGTGTGGTGTGTGTGTGTGTCTGTGTAGTCTGTATGTGTGCAGTGTGTGTATGTTGCTATGTCTGAGTGTGTCTGTGTCTCTATGTGTGTGTGAGATCTATATGCGTGTAGCAAATGTATCCTGGGTATACGTGCCTATGGATGTATCAAAGCCAGGGCCTCATGTGTTCTGGGCAGATGCTCTCCCACAGAGCCTTATATCACTGATTAGAAACCTGATCTGGACAGCTGTGGTTTATTATTACTAAACAGATCCATAAGATGCTTCTCTCTGCTGGTCCCCACGGGGAGTGCCACAGAAGCCGCCCCTACTCCAGACAGACAGACAGACACACCCGTTTCTGACCCATCACTCAGTGCCTTCCCATGATAATGTATATATAGATGATACCTAAAATATGTTATATTCAAAAACGTGTAACAATACTTTTTTTTTGTTTTGTTTTTGAGTCTGGATTTCTCTGTAGCTTTGGAGCTTGACCTAGAACTAGCTCTATAGACCAGGCTGGCCTCAAACTCACAGAGAGCCACCTGCCTCTGCCTCAGGAGTACTGGGATTAAAGGCGTGTGCCACCACTGCCTGGCTATGTAACAATATTTTTAAAAAGACTTTAACTTACAACAAAGGGCACTTTCTTCCTCTGATAGGAACTTGACAGGAAAATTTGATGGGAAAAATACATTTAATTTTCAAAAAAAATACATTTAATTTTCAAAAAAAAATACATTTAATTTTCATGGCAATAAATTATCACATTAGTCATTTCCCCAGTGACTAGTCTACTAATATGTGTGTCCATTTTGTAAAGCCTCCATGTTTCATAAAAACTGTTCATATCATAAACTCATTGGCCCTTTGCCATCCTAGCCTGGAGTTCACAGGGTTCCAGAAACGAGTGGGTTTACGTTAATCAGATTTATCTTTCTCTTTATGGTTTTGTATAGTTTCAACTCTTAGACACCTCTGCCTTCTACCTCCAAATCCTGCCAATTTTAGGGCAAAAGAAACATTCAGTGTTACTCTAGTTTGTGGGTGACTTTAACTTCCTTATATTTCACTTTAAGCCAGCAAGGGCACTTGTAAGAAGCTGGACGCCCACTTGTCTGTTTGGGTTTTGAGGCTGGGCTCTTGTAGCCCAGGCTGGCCTTGAACTTGCTATGCAGACAAGGGTAACCTGGAACTTCTGCTCCTCCTTCTCCTACCTTCCAACTAGCTGGGGATTATAGACAGAGTCACCATGCCAGGCTTGGATGCTCACTTTCTCTGAGTATGAAGAGACAAAGTACCAAAGCCTGACAGTCAGTGGTGTTCTAACCACCATTTCTAACAATCCCGCTAGGGAAGGAGAAATACAAACAGATGGGCAGGTTCTGAGAGGAAGCCCAGGACCTCCAACCAACCCATGGACATTTTCTTATACAAGACATTTTCTTATACAAGATCTACAAAGCAGAGGCAGAAGGGCAGGAGAAGACAGTCTGCTGACTGCCTGAGCTCAGTCTCTACCACGGAGCAGGGTTCAGCAATCATCACCTGTGAAATCAATACTGTGGCTCATGCGGTGTCTCACTCTGGATGAACGGAGTGCCCCAAAGGTACCCCAAGCAAGGCAGTCAGGCCATCGTCATTGCTCTAGGTTGCCCACCATGACTAGATGGCGAGACCCTGTTGCCAAAGAGACACCACACACTTTCGTTGCAGCTCTTGACCAGGAAGCCTCCCCAAAGGCTAGCCTTCATAGTGTTGGAAGGTGCTAGTCAGGCTGCGAGGAGAAGAGATCATGGTCTCCCCCTGCGCTGGGCCCTGCACACTATCATACCAACCCGCAAGCAGCTGTATATCCTGGAGCCACAATGGCAGGACTAGGGGTCACCAACCATCTCTTGATTAAGTCTGAGGTCTTCTCCACAGCAGGGAATTCGTCCATGACATTGTAAGAAGGCAAAAATCCATGCCTATGAAGTCATCGGCTCTAGGGGAGAACCTACTGGTGTCTTATAGATATTCATGCTGCAAGACTGCTTCCTAAATACTCATGCTTATATTCATATATTTGTGCTGGGCAGAAAAACCCCTTATTGTGGTGTGTGGGGGTTAATCAAGTGATGTCTTACTTTACGAAAGCAGAGCAGAGGTGGCTATGAGTGTACTCAGCCATAGATGGGACATCTGTATCCAACACCGCCCAACACACGCACACACTCACAGACAGACAGATGGACGGACGGACAGACAGACAGACATGCACACCTAAGGTTCGGGGGCAGAGAGAATAGGAAGTGGACAATTGCCGGGAAATGCTGCCCTCAGGTCAGCACTTGTGAACCCAGAGCAGCTATGGTTACCTAAGTAAGACCTGCATAATAAGATCAAGTCAGCTAGACGTCTGGTCAGCATGGACGAGGGAGGTTTCCCCAGTCCCAACCCCAGCCAGAGTGTGCTTGGCCATTGATGGCTGCTGGGGGAGGACTTTTGCCACCGGTTGGTTCCCCATGCAAAACATATATGGGCAGCACAAACTGGACTCAGTTAAATTAGTAAATAATAAAATATAGAACGGAGCATGAAGTTGAGAGGGAGACATGAGAGAAAGTCCTGGGAGAGCGCTGGTGTGGGGAATCATGTGTGTGTGTGTGTGTGTGTGTGTGTGTGTGTGTGTGTGTGTGTGATATAATCAAGATACTTTATATACCTGTATTAAGTTTTCAAAGAATAAATAAAATAAAGCTAAAGAATTGGGCCTGGCCACTGTCGGTGGACTTTGTAGTGGAACCACAGCACCGGCCAAGGTGATAAAACACTTCTTACTAAACTTTCCCCCATGATCCTCAAAGCTCCATGGAACATGAACTATAATGACTAAGAGTTCTTTTTTCCCCGCCCTGGGACGGAACATGCAGAGTCTAAGTTGGTCACACCCTGTCAGGCTATAACGTTGTTTTCCTAAAAGCAACCTAGATGCTCTTCTCGTGTCTGAAACTCAGGGACCTCATTCTACATGCCGTGCAAGCATGTCATGTGGGAGAGGCATGGACTGGCTAGCTCGGTTGTGTTTATTCCGTCTCAGAGTCGAAAGGACTGCATGGAGTCCCCAGCTCCTCATCCATTGCTGGGAGCCGATTTGAATGGCTGCCATTACAAGATGGCATTTGGCCCTGGCCTGGCTTGATAAGATTGCAGTTCTTCTACCAGAAAACAGGGTGAGTTGTTGTTATCTAGCTGCCCACACTCCCTCTGACCAGCAGGGGAACTTCCTTGTGGTCTGTAATTGACAGGGATGTTCCCCTGCTTTCTTTCTGGCAGGTGGGTCTCCAGAAAAGCAGTTAAAGTATCAAAGGTTGCTAGGCAGACTCCCTATATAAGCAGCTGCAGCTCAGAGCTCAGGGCCCCTTGCTTTCTGCTCTCCCTATAACCAAGAGGCTCCAATAAAGCGTGATTTGGGAAGAATCCTCGTCTGGTGGCTGTTCCTTCCTGCTGGTCAGGGAGTTCGCTTCAATCCATGTCTCCTTGGCTTTCATGGTGGATAGGAGGAAACTCGCTGCTCCTGATGCTTGTTTTTCTGTCAAGATTCTTTCTCTTTTTCCTGAATCTTACTTTTTACATCCCCTAATTTACACATAATTCTGGGCAGGGACCAAATGACAGGTTCTCATGGATCAGAGATCTGTTAAATAATAACCACAGCCATCCTGGTTCAGAATTCAAATCACAGTCGCATAAAGTCGTGGTACAGTACTTGCCTGGCACATTTGCTGTGGGATTCTCCTCTGTATGTTGTGAATACCATTGTTTAATAAAGGAACTGTCTTGGGCCTGTGATAGGGTAGAGTAGAGCTAGGAGGAGAACTAAACTGAATGCTGGGAGAAAGGAGTCCTGCCAGAGACGGACACCAGATGGAAATTTACCCAGTAAGCCACAGCTACATGGTGATACACAGATGAATGGAGATGGGTTAAATTAAGATGTAAGAGTTAGCTAATAAGAAGCTAGAGCTAATGGGCCAAGCAGTGATTTAATTAACTGTTTCTATGTGCTTATTTCGGGTCTGAACTGCCGAGCAGCCGGGAACCAATAAGTGGCCTCCTTCAACACACACGTACACACACACACATACATAACCCAGAACACACACCCACACACACATGCATACAGATTCACACACATACACACACATAACACACATGCACACAGTAATGGCAAGAGAAGTTCCATTGAAGATTTAAAAAAAAAATACTCGGCTCTGTTTTTTCCCACTGGCAAACCTAAGAACTGTCCACCTTTAACACTCCTTCAGAAATAAAGTTAAAAAAGAAAAGCTATCATTTGGTGCAGAAAAGTCTCAGGCACAGGGCACTTACCTGCAGTCCCCAAAGTGAGAAGTGGGGACAAGAATCAGGAATTCGAGGTCATCAATACTGAGAAATGTGAGGGATGACAGAGTGGCTAATGTCTGTAATCCCGGTACTTAGGAGGCTAAAACAGGAGGATCACCATGAGTGCCAGGCCAGCCTGGGCTACGGAATAATACCATTTCAAAGTAACACCAACAAAAACAAGTAAAAAAGAAAAAGCAGCTGGGGTGGTGGTGGTGCACACCTTTAATCCTAGCACCTAGAAGGCAGAGAGACAGGAAGGTCTCTGAGTTCTTGAGTTCCTGGTCTACAGAGTGAGTTCCATGACAGCCACGGCTCCACAGACAAATCCTGCCTCAAAAACCAACTGTCTCGAAAAACCAAAAAGAAAAAAAAAAACAACCACCAAAAAAAAAGGATGACTGGCCAGCAAGATGGCCTAGCTGGTCACAAGTCTGACGCCCTGAATCCAACCCCAGACTTGGGTACAACCGTCTTCTGTCCCCTACACGTGTGCTGCCCGTGTCCCTGACTCAGAGTACAAAATACATACAGGTAAAAATAAGTTTAGAAAGAAAAACAGGACTAAACTTGACTGTAGACTTTAAGAAAAGCTAGAGCAAAGTTTGGGAAACTAACAATTTCTGTAGCAGCAGAGACTCCCAGGCAAGCTTGTGGTGGAAACAGCAGTTGGCGGAACCAGAAAGAAGATGCCTCACCTGTATCGGCACCGCCATCTTCACCTTCATCTCCCGAGTTCTCGATTTCCTCAATAACCATCCTCTTCCCTTTGGTTTGGGGCTCGGAGGCAGGTTCTGCTTTCTTCAGCTCGCTTTCAACCTCTGACAAGGTTTTCTGCAACATAATTGGTTTTCTTTCAATAAAGAACACAATCATTCTTTTGTTTTTCAGAGACAATCCTTGCTCCCACTGTTAGGAGTCCCAAGAGGACCAAGCTACACAACCACAGAATATGTGCAGAGGGTTCAGATAAGAACCATATAGGCTCTCGGGTTGTCAGTTCTGTCTCTGTGAGTCCCGTGAGCCCAGCTTAGCTGGTTCTGTCACGGCCATGCTTCCTGGTAAGAATATGAAGCTGCTTTAAAATGAACCAACAGAAGACTTTAAACCTCAGGCTAGTTTCCTTTTTACAATGATTTCGTTGTTTTATCTGATTAAAAATGATATGTCCACTATAAAATAAGCAAACAAATGAATGAACAGCGAATAACAAAATAAAACAGAAGCAAAATGGGGCTTAAGACACAGCTCAGCAGTTAAGAGCATTGGCTGCTCTTGCAGACGACCTGGGTTCAACTCCCAGCACCCACATGGCGGCTCACAACCATCTGTAACTCCAGTTTTCGGAGCTCTGATGCCCTCTTCTGGCTTCTCAGGCACTAAAATAAGGATGTGGTGCAGAATCAGGACGCAAAACACCCAATACACATAAAATACATTAAAAAGACAGAAACCGAATCACGGGGCTCCTCCCATTCACTTAGCAATACTGACATCTTGGTAAGCTTCCAGATGTTTCTGTGCGCGCGCGCGCGCACACACACACACACACACACACACGGGGTGGGGGGGCAGTTTATGTAGCTGAAGTCCTCACATGTGCTGTGAAGGGCAGTGTTCAAAGGTCTGAGATAGTTTGAGCCACTAAAAAGAAAGTATTTGTATTGTCCCTCTCTGCTGAACATTTAAAAATTATTTTATTTAGTGCTTGTGTGAGCGTATGCCACATGCTTGCTGGCGTCTGCAGAGGTCAGAAGAGGGTGCCGATCCCCTGCAGCTGGAGTTCCTCAGTCATACGCAAACCCACTGAGCATGCAGCACTCTTGTGGGTTCCTCTGTCTAATCAGGACGTGAGATCAAGGGGAACTGTGAGGAAAAGACCCTCCTGTCTGACCTAAGATGCGGTGGTGGTTTGAATGCCTCCCATAGGCTCATATTTGAATACTTGGTCCCTCGTGGGTGGATCTGTTTGGGGAGGATTGGGAGGTGTAGCCTTACTGGAAGAGGTATGTCACTAGGGGTGTGCTTTGAGGATACTGTCTTCCTGTCTGTTTACTGATTATGGAGAAGTTGGAAGCTCTCTCTCTCTCTCTCTCTCTCTCTCTCTCTCTCTCTCTCTCTCTCTCTGCACACCTTTAAGGACTCAGAAGGCAGAGACAGGCAGATCTCTGAATTCCAGGCCAGCCTGGCCTACAAAGAGAAACCCTGTCTTCAAAAGACAAAAGACAAAGACGTAACCTCTTAGCTGTTGCTCCTGAACTACGCCTGCCTGACTGTTATCATGCTCCCCACCATGATGGTCATGGACCAACCCTCTGGAACTGTAAGGAAGCCCACAGTTAAATTCTTTCTTTTATAGGAGTTGCCTTGGTCATGGTATGTCTTCACAGCAAGAGAACAGTAACTAAGACAGATACTGTGTGTGCCACTGAAGTCATCTAATTTACAGAGTGAAATCTCATATCTTTCCGGGGCTTGACAGTTACTCTTGAGGCCTTAGTTGGGTACTGCAGCACCTAGCCGGTTCACCCAGGTGGGGACGGGTGCTGCCAACACTAGGCTAACATCATTCTGTGGCCGTGGTGTTCACTCACAGCCCTATCCAGTAACTGCTGTGAGCGCTGTGTGATTTTCTCAGAAAAGCAGCGCTGACTCCATAAGTGGAGAAAGGTATCTGTTGCTCAGTGGTGATTCCATAGGTCTGTGTAACCCCTTTCTTCCTCCTTCAATTGCTGTCTCGTGGTGGTGGTGACAGTGACCGCCTAGGCAAGCACTCTTCCATTGAGCTGTCCCCGTCCCCACACGCGCGTTCCTCAACAGTTTGCTCTCTTCCATTCCAACTAGACGTCAGCCCTTCCCAGCTCCCAACTTTGTGAAGTCGCGGCCTCAGCGAGGCTCACTCAGCAGGACTAATATCATTTTTAACACACGCTCGGAAACAGCTGGGTGTGGTGGTGGTGCACACCCTTAATCCCAGCACCTGGGAGGCAGAGGCAGGAGGACCTCTGTGAGTTCAGTGCCAGGCTGGTCTCTCTAGGGAGCCCCGGACCAGCCAGAGTGACAAGGTGAAACCCTGTCTTAAAACCCCCAAAGTAAATAAAATCAGAAATGGAAAAGACAGAGTTAGGTTTTTATAACATTTTCTAGACTTACCTTGGCCACATCATTATGAGGTTCCACACGCAGCACCGTTTGCAGGTCCTCCCTGGCCTCCTGGAGCTTGTTCTGGTGTTTGTAGGTAGTAGCACGTCTCAGGAGAGCTGAAAAGGCACCCGCATGAAGGCGCGGCAGTTTAACGCACAGCCCCGTGGCTTTGTTGCGGTTTGCACAGGACACGGGTCGGTTTGCACAGAGCCGGGCGATGGTGGTGCACGCCTTTAATCCCAGCACTCGGGAGGCAGAGGCAGGCGGAGGGAGGCAGAGGCAGGCGGATCTCTGTGAGTTCGAGGCTAGCCTGGTCTACAAGAGCTAGTTCCAGGACAGGCTCCAAAGCCACGGAGAAACCCTGTCTCGAAAACAAACAAACAAACAAAAAACAAAAACAAAAAAAAAGCTCGAACCCCAGGTCCGTGTCTGTGTTGTGGTGCACACAGAAGGTGCCCTGTTGCCCACAGAAGGGGCTTCACTGGGCGTCAGTCTGCTCTTTCGATCTCTGAGACTTTCGTTCATGCAAATTATGCTGTGCTCAAGTCCATCCAGCCCCTCCCCTCCAATCCTTTCCCCGCTGCCTCCCAACTTTCACTTCCAATTTCGTGAGCTCTTTTTCTTAAAGCAAGCAAACAAAAGAACCTACTGCGTCCACGCAGAGTTGAGTGTGTGTGGGCAGTCTACGTAAGTGTGAACCGTGTGCTAGTTTGAACGAGAAACGTCCTCATGGGCATCGGTATTTGAAGGCGTGGCTCCAGTTGGTGAGGCTGTTTGTGGAGGTTAGGGGGGTGCAGCCATCCCGGGTTAAGTCTGACACAGGGAGCCGGCTCTGAGAGGGAGAGCCAACTAGCAGTGTTAAAAATGTGAGCTTTCAGTGGCCTGCTCCGTCTGCCACGCCTCCCTGCCGCGACGACTCTTTTCCCTCTGGAATCATAAACCCCCCAAAAGTCTCTTTCTTAAGTTGCCTTCGTCACAGTGTTCTAATAAAGCAAAGAAAAGTAACCCAAACGCGTCTGGAGAAAGCGGACTCCCTAGGCAGCTTCAGTCCCCTCTGAATAACTAACTGGTCCTCTGGCAGCACGGACCCGCCAGCTCCTCCCCTCTCGCCCTTTCCAGCCCTGCACCGTGCCTGCAGCACGGGAAGCTTTCACAGAACAGCAACACCTGGCTTCTTTAGCCATTGCTGCCTGTAGTTCGTCATTTCCTGGGAATTTAGAAGACCCCTCACGGAACTTTGGTAAACGCCGATCGGCAAAGGCTAGGTTAATAAAGCACTTTAGCATTCTCGATGGGGCCGGTTATTTTGGTGGCAGTCGGGAGGGTTGTCTTTGTTGGGCTTAATTTGGTTTAGTTTTCTGAGACAGGGTCTCATAGCACAGTCTGGTCTTGAACTCCCTGGACAGCCAAGTACCTTTAAACTCTGGTCTCCCTGCCTCCACCTTCCAGACTGTTCCAGTCTATACAGCTGCTGTTGATGTAATGATGAGACCTGGGTGTGGTGGCTGTGGCAGAGACCTACATCCCAGCGTTCAGGGCGGTAAAGCAGGGCCAGCCGGTCTCAGAAAATAAACTCTGCTAAAATTATCCAAAAGTGAACTTCGCATGTGGAACCACGGTGGAGCCCCGGTGAGCACATGGCCGGGGCCGGAAACTGAGTACTTTGGTGATTTGTGCCAGATTTCTTTTGTTTCAATTTATAATTTAATCATCATTTAACACTAACAGTGTACCTGTCTAGTCCTTTGGTCCATTATAGGAGGTTATTTTGTGTAGTCAGACGGTGTCTTGAGAAAAAAAATAGGCTTAACAATTCTGAAATGTGAGAAATGGCGTATCAGATGTATTTTAATATGTTATCACAGCAAACAAGCAGAAATTAAGCAAAGTTCTCTTGTTCTATAACTCAGTTTTAGCCTTAGAATGAGCCATGAAAACCTAAAGGATAAACCATTTTTTAAAATCTTTAACCAAACTTCATTATTATTCAGGTCTCTAAACTCCCACGAAGCAGCAGTCATGAGAGAAGACTGATGTTTGTAATGTTTAATTTTAGAATATTTGAGTTATCGGGGAGTTGTGAGGTTAGTGCAGATCTCCTCTGACCCCCCATGAAGCCTCCTACAACGTGACCGTCTTACCATCTCTTGATTGGCTACCATAGTCAAAGAATAAAGGACTTGATTCCAAATCAGATTGATTAAAAATGACGTGCCCAAGGTCGTGGCTCACATACAGAATCCCGAGACTGCCCGAACCATGGGAGCAGAGAGTCGCTGTCTAGTTACCTTTGATGTTTCCGGGCTCGAGCTCCAAGGCCTTCTCACAGTTGTGGAGAGCGCTGCTCCACCGCTGCAACCTGATTTCCGCTTGCGCTCGATTGTTGTAGGCAGACACGGTGGGAAGGGCTGATAAACTCCTACGAGAGAATGGCAGGTTGGTGATGGGGAGGCCAGAGACAAACTCGGCTAAAGTTGTGTTGAACGTGGAGTGTCCTCCCAGGCTGGTGGCACGGGTGGTGATTGGTTCTGGAAACATCGGGAGGCTAGGCCTGGCTGAAGAAGAGAGACTCCTGGGACTGTGCCCTTGGGCTTCTCTGTCTTTGCCCCTGGTGCACGGATGCCCTCATCCCCATCCCACATCATGCCGGCAAGCCCACCGTGAAGCGAACAGCTTGTTCCCACCACCAAGATGCTCAGCCTCACTTCAGAGCCAAGCTAACACCAACTGTGGGTTCAACCCTCATGAGCCAAAACAAAGTTTCCCTCCTCCGAGCTGTGGTTCTTGGGTATTTACACAGCTGTGTAAAAGTAACGAGTGCAAAACAAATATGTATTGTGTAAGTGCTGAACTGTGTTCCCTTCAAAGTTTATTTGTTGAGCCGGGCGATGGTGGCGCAGGCCTTTAATCCCAGCACTCGGGAGGCAGAGGCAGGCAGATCTCTGTGAGTTCGAGATCAGCCTGGTCTACAGAGCTAGTTCCAGGACAGGCTCCAAAGCTACAGAGAAACCCTGTCTCGAAAAAACCAAAAAAAAAAAAAGAAAGAAAAAGAAAAAGAGCGAGTTCCAGGAGAGGCTCCAAAGCTACAGTGAAACTCTGTCCCCCCCCCCAAAAAAAACCAAAAAACAAAAACAAAACAAAAGTTTATTTGTTTAAGCCCAAATTTTAAGCCCTTTAAGCCCACAGTGTTTCGGGACATGAGTCTATTGGGATGTAGGCTTTAGAGAAGGAGTCAGGCCAAGGCTCCAGCCCAGAGTACAGACCTCGGAGCAATTCCCAGCACCACTGTCATGGCCCCCTTTCCAGTCACTGTGATAGAAACAACAGTGCAGCCAGGCTGACTTTGGCTCACAGTGCAAACGCAGCCCATCATAGCACAAGCAGGTAGCAGAGAAAGAGGTGTGCTGGGGGACAGTGGGCTTTTGTCCTGCCACTGGTATTCTTTTTAATAAAGCACTGATTGGTCAGTAGCCAGGCAGGAAGTAGAGGCAATGAGAACAGGAGAATTCTGGGAAGAGGAAAGCTCAGTCTGCAGTTGTCACCCTGACATAGAGGACGCAGATGAGAATGCCTCGCTGATGAAAGGTACCAAGCCACGTGGCTAACACAGACAAGAATTATGGGTTAAGATGTAAGAATTAATTAATAAGAAGCCTGAGCGACTAGGCCAACCAGTTTATGATAAATGTAGACCTCTGTGTGCTTCTTTGGGACTGAACAACTGCGGGACCTGGCGGGACAGAAACCTCTGTCCCAGAGGTGAAAGTGTGCTGCTGCTAAGCATCCTATCACCATGGATACAGTTCAGGATCCTTGGCAGGGAAAGGCACCAACACAGCGGGTGGGTTGTCCCAACTCGACACCATCAAGATAATAATCCCCCGCAGGCAGGGTGAGGGACCCAAGCTCCCACATGATTCCAGACTCTGTCAGGGTAACAAATAGTACCAGCCATTGCCACCATCACCATTTAAAAAAAAAAAACTTAAAAAAGAGATAATTAGCTTACTATGAGGTCCTTAGAATGGACTCTAGCCTAACAAAACTGATACCCTTATAAAAAGAAGAGATTAGGGCGAAAAAGAGTGACAGGCACACAATGTGGGCATATAAGACAGGTCCCTGTCAGCCTAGGACAGAGGCCTCTGAAGAAACCAACCCTGCCTTCACCTTGAGTTTAGACTTTTAGCCTTCAGAAGTGTTGATATACATCTTGTTCAGACTACTAGGTGTAGTGATATTTTATTTGTAATCTAACAAATAAAGCTTGCCTGAAGATCAGAGTGTGAAGCTAGCCACTAGTTAGCCGTAGAGGCCAGGCAGTGGTGGCGCACACCTTTAATCCCAGCACTGGGGAGACAGAGCCAGAGAGATCTCTGTGAGTTCAAGGCCACCCTGGGCTACGGAAATTGATCCAGTCTAAAAGAAACAGAGCCTGGCGTGGTAGATCACGCCTTTGATCCCAGCACTAGGGAGGTGGAGACTGGAAGGGATATGGCTGGGAGGAGAGAGGAATATAAGGCGGGAGGAGACAGGAGCTCAGATGCAGTCTGAGCAGGCAGTGTGAGGATGCAGTCTGAGGATCTGTAGATTACCCCTTCAGTCTGAGGATTCTGTAGATGTAAAAAGGTCTCTCTAGTGGCTGACTGCACTGCTTCTCTGATCTCTCAGCTTCCACCCCCTAATATCTGACTCTGGGTTTTTATTATTAAGAATAAGAATTCGTGCAACAACTAAGTCTGTGGTATTTCGGGATAGCAGTCCTAGCTAAATAATATAACCTATGTCTCTGAAATACAGTTCCCTCCTCTCAGATGACTCTAGCTCATGTCAAGTTAACATAAAAGGAGCCAGCGTGCCTACTGCAGGTCCCGAGTATCTATCTATGTATTCCATGTCACAGAGCTACTTCACAGGGGGTATCATTGCTCCATCCATTTAGAAAACGAGAAATATGTGCAACTGAAAATCTAAGGTGTGCCTATCAATAGTCACAGGTAGTAAGTACAGACAAGAGCCCCTCCTGGACAGTCAGCTTGCTGTCTTGTCTCCAGTAACCACCTAGTCCTCACAGCACCCTCGAGGCTTAGAGCTTTATCACCTTGAGGAAATTAAGGCAAGAGAGGTGAGGCATCTGCCCCAGTATAGAAGGCAGCAGACCTCAATTCTCTGATCCATCAGACCATACTGCTTAAATTCTTCTGCTAGCTGACCCCACAACAAAGAAGGTAATGAAAATGTCACTCTCTAATGGACAGGAGAATCCACTAGTGAAAATCCACAGCAAGAAAACAATCAGCTGGGTGAGATGCTGGGTGCCTGTAATCCCAGGACCTGAAACAGGGAAGCAGGAGGATCGGAAGTTCAAGGCCAACCTGGACTCAGAAGACTGTCAGGTAAAGGAGTGGGGGTGAGGGAGGGAGGGTGGTTGGGAGGTAGGGTGGGTGGGAGGGAGGGAGGACGAGGATAAGCGGCAGGGCTGACGTCCACCTGACTGAAGACGGGAGGCTGTACTGAATGAACAACCCATGACTATCCCTTCTACATGAAAACCTGCTATGGGACAAGCCCCTCACTGGGCAATGAGGAGACAATAAAATAAAACAACCGAGCAAGCGAGCTCTGCCCTGGGAGCTCATGGTGCCTTCAGAATCAGACTGCACCAATCTGAACCTTAGCTCTGAGAAGAGCTGTGAACGACTGTGAGCCGCTACCAGAGCCGCCTAACCTGGCAACCATGTGCTGTGTTACAGAATAGAGACCTCACTTCCTCTAAGGGAAGTCAAAGCTGAGCCCTAAAAGATAAAAGAGGGGAGGGAAACATTCACGGAGACCTTGTGGTCGCAAGTGAATTCATGACGTCACAAGTATAATACTCTGAGTGATTCCCACATAGACTATTCAGTTTATTTGTGTGGTTCCAACAATTAAAACATCACTTTAATTTTACATGTATGGGTGTTTGCCTGCATATATATCTATGACCACATGTGTGCCGGTGCCTAGTTGGATCCCCTGGAACTGGAGTTACAGCAGGTTAATGGCCATGTGGATGTAAGGAACTGAACCTCTGGAAGAGGAGCAAAGTCCTCAACTCCTGAGCCATTGCTTCAGCCCCTAAGATAGCACAATTCAGCCCCAGTAAGATGAAAACCCCCTTGCCTGGTGTAATACATCACGGCCTCTTCGTAATCTCCAGCGTGGAAAGCCTCATTTCCTTTTTCCCTTTCACGATTGGCAAGAAGACACTTTTCCTTCTCAGTTAGACCTGAAATAAACACACACGAAAACAAAAACAAAAACAAAAACAGAACCGAAGACCATTTCTCTAAATGCAGGCGTGCTTTTGTTTAAGGGCAGTCCTGGGACTAGAACCTGGGGTCTCAGGCACACCCAACAAGCCCTCTGCTGCTGTGCTACATCCCCCACCCCAAGGTACCTATTTTGACTGGAGCAGGAAGCCATAGACTAAACAAAACCAATTAAAAGATTTCCTAAGCGTAGAGCTATTTCTTTTTTTCTAATCATCACCAGGTTTTTTAGGAGTTTTCTTTTTTTTGTCCTTTTTGTTTGTTTTTGTTTTTGTTTTTTCAAGACAGGGTTTCTCTGTAGCTTTGGAGCCTGTCCTAGAACTCGGTCTGTAGACCAGACTGGCCTCGAACTCACAAGGTCTGCCTGCTTCTGCCTTCTTAGTGCTGGGATCAAAGGTGTGCACCATGGCTGCCCAGCTAGGAGTTAGTTTTCTTTTGACTAGTTTTGTTTTACTTTGAAGGTTATGTACGGACTTCAGAGGAAAAACTGTCTTGCTTCTTTTGTTCAATGAAAAAAAGAAAAAAAAGAGGGAATTTAAAGGAAGAGGATTGGAAATAGGAAACAGAAAACAAGTGAATATTCTAAAAAATTAGGTTTATATGTAAACTTCATTATTAAGGCCAGCCATAGTGGTACAATAGCACTTGAATAATGAATAATGGAGGAAGGACAATTGGAAGGCCAAGGTCAGCATTAGCTATACGTGGAGTTCAAGGCCCACCTGGGCTACGTGAGACCCTGTTTCAAACAAAATTGAGTAATTAAAGAGAAATAAATTTGTTAGAAGTGGTCAACTCTGACCAAAAATCTATAAACTTGAATGGAAACCAACAATGCTCAAAGACAAGGTTTCCTGGCTGACAAGTTTTATCCTAACTCACAGGCGGGAAAAGGATGCAGTATTTCCATTCTCTCTTATTACCTGCTGTGTCTAGTTTTGTCTCAATTTTAGAC